AGTTCGAATGGTCCCAACCTAACCCTCAAGCAGTCAGACAACATGCTGGATACTTCCCGTTCATAAATAAGTCTGATATTGACTTGACAAGGTATGGAATTTACAATTCAATTGAAACAATTGTCAACGAACCTTGCATTCTTACATGTCTCAGGAACTCTGGTCTTGTTACAGATGAGAAGATGAAGTATCTTGAGTCATGTGTGAAGACAAGGTACATTCTCAGAGGTCAATTGGCAAAAATTGCACCGTTGGCAAATGTCAATATCCGAGTCAACATACCTACAGCTAAAGGTTCTTCACATGACGACTATGTTGTTGACAAAGACTTACCATGGTTGAAGATTGTAATTGTCCACAACCACTTCATATTGAACGAAAGTCTTACAAACCCATTCTTTGGTAAAAGTAAGTGCAACATTGTCAGAGCTGTAAACATTCTTTTCGAGAAAGGTTTGTTGGAACCAATTCCAGATGACAAGCTGACAGAAACTTTTGTACCAAAAGACGAAACAAGCTTTTCATTGTTAGCAAGACCAAAAGTTGTTCCAGACAAAGTTCTAGTACAAAAGAAGTACACAGTTCCACAAGGAGTTGGTATGTTCGGATACCAACCTGAACCAGAAGAACTTCCAATGAGGTTGCAAGAACTTCAAGATGCTATAAACAAACTTCCATTGAGACATCCAATTGACGTCAAATTGTATTGGAGAGCATCTGAGTTAGGTCAGAAGGTTTTATATGAAACAGGTTGCTTCGACGATGTTTATGAGATAACAGGAGAAGTTTCTCAGAAGATAAGAGACTCACTTGAATTTCCACAAACTGGACCAATTGGTTGCGACAAGTTCGACTCAGATGAAAAGATATACTATGTCGACCTTAACGCTGCATACATGAGGTTTGTCCAATATATTCCGACTGGAATTCCAAACGAAGATGGTGAGTTCCCGGGAAGGAACTATACAGTTGGAAAAGTCATACAACAACTGTATGATATTAGGAAAGCTTCAAACCCCAAACTTGCAATGACACTCAAATTGCTTATGAATTCGACATGGGGATATTCCATTAAGAAACCTCAAGAGATGAAGAGTAAACATTATGAGAAGGTCGACAACTTTGTTGAAAGGTTTTCTCCTTTTGTTTTGAAGTACGAATTCACTCAAGGTCAAAGTGGCTTAGTAACCACATTAAAACCTATTGTCGAACATTGGTCTTACCCTCAGTTCGCAAAGGCAGTCCTTGACGAGTACAACAAATTCTTCTCCGAAGTCAAATCGAAAGTCAAGGTTTACTATGAGAACATTGACGCACTCATGACGAACGAAGAAGGCTATAACAAACTCATTGAAATGGGAATGGTCGGTGAAAAGATGGGTCAATTCAAATTGGACAAAATTTTCACCGAAGTTCATGTCCTCTCCAAGCGTAAGTACTGGGGTGTTAAAGAAGATGGTGAAATAGTTAAACATTGCATGAAATAAAAAAATTATTTTTAAAAAAGTGACATTTTTTTTATTTTATTTGAAATGTACGCTGAGTTTGTTGGAGAAGACCGTTGGGAAACTTGTTTGTTAGATGAGAAATATGAAATTCACTGTTGTGAGTCATTTGAAGTCAGAAACAAAAAGACAAAAAGAGTTTTAAGCGAATGGGAGCGAAATGACGGATATGCTATTATGAAGATGGATGGAAAACACTATCTTAAACATGTTGTCATTGCAACTCATTTTATACTGAATCCTAACAATTTACCTTTTGTAGACCATATAAACCATATAAGAAACGACAATAGACTTGAAAACTTACGTTGGGTCACTCGTTCTGAAAACAATAAGAACAAAGGCAAATTTGGAGATATTGTATTCGAATTTGTCGACGAACTAGAAGATGAAACAATTGAAATTACAGACTATGGCAAGCATACGTTTGAGTTTTACTACTATAGCGAAGAACAAGGCTCTTTCTACTTTATACCGGCGTAAACTATAGGAAATTACAAGTATATTTTACTAAGGCGGGCTATGCTTATGTAAACACTAGAGATACAGATGGAAAATACGTTCAAATACTTCTTAACAAATTCAAGAAGCTATATGGCATACCATTTTAAAACAATATATTTTTACATATATTAAATGCTTCAGGTTGAAAAACAAAGAACAAAAGTAGCAGATACAAAACCGTTAGACTATATCTTTACAAATGCTGGTAGGACTATTTCAGATGAAGAAATTTCATCCCGAGCATACAGGTTTGACTATCCAATTCGTTGGCTTCAAAGTCCTTCAGATGCAAAGGCAATAGGATTTAGAAGAGTTTTGTTTTCAAATAGAACTAACGCATTTATGTTCGCAGTATATTTTCATGGGCAGTATAAAGGTTCTGATGGTCTAATAGACAAATTTGACGAAATGAGAATCTTTACAGTTCGTTCAGACGAAAGTCTTGAGAAAACTCTAGATGACTTTCAAACTCAAATGAACAAATATTATTGGGAATTTCAAGAAAAATACGACTCTTTACTAAATGGAACATACTATCTGAAACTAGAATATGACAAGATGAACTCCACCGTTTCATTTCAAAAGATTGAAATTAACCCTCCAAGAGATACAGAGTTTTTATTTTGGGAAGTAGACAAACGTTCTTGGGCACAATTTCTTCGGTTACTAAACCAGAACGAACCATTACCACCAGATGGTCCATTTAAATTTATACTTCCACCAGCAGATTTGATGGTTTATAGAAACGTGTTTGACCCTCAAAGTGTTATGTGTCATGCAACTTTCAGTTCAAGCAACAATAGTTTTCTATGTATTGGTAAGGACCTTTATGACTTTGCTTCTAAATTCTACGAACCACCTAGTAACAGTTTCTCTGACTTTCAAGTTTGGTTCACAACAAATGGTATGCAACATATTATTCCATTGTACTATGACTTTTATCTCGAATTGTCTTTCATATATAACTACGGAAAAGTGCTGAAAAAGTATTGAATGTGAAGATATTAGAAAATAACATTTTTTCTAACATCGTAGAAAACTCATGAAAACAATTTATTTTTGACACTTTCACAAAAAACATTAAAAAAGTGAGTTAAAATGAGATGTTTACTGAACTGGTTGGATGTCGCCTTCTGAGGTTATGTAGAACGGCTGACCCGAGAAGTGGAACAGTGCTCTGAGAATTTGTATAATTCGTGGAATTGGACTCTCTCTGTTTGGAAGTTGTATCCATGGGCGCTTTGCAAAGAACTTGAGAAGAGCTTCTTTCTTCATCTCCTTTATGTCGTCTACAGGAGTGTTTTCTGGTATTTGAATTGGAATTCCGGTTTCAATTTCGATTTTCAGCGCACCTCTTCCAAACAACCAGAAGCCGAGGGACTTGTTGGCTTTGTCCTTGCCCAAGTATTGCTTAACAACTTCATTTATCTCTATAAGGTAAATTGCCTCATCTAATGGCTCGATGTTGTCCATTGTTCTGTTTCAGAACTAGCCTTGTACTTTTTCAGAACAATACTTGTACTGTTTCAGAACAATACTTGTACTTTTTCAGAACAATACTTGTACTGTTTCAGAACAATACTTGTACTTTTTCAGAACAATACTTGTACTTTTTCAGAACAATACTTGTACTTTTTCAGAACAAGACTTGCACTGCTTCAGAACAAATTTCCCGTAAAAGCTCTCAATTTGTGAGAAAAATTTTCTGTTTCAGAACAATACTTGTACTTTTTCAGAACAATACTTGTACTTTTTCAGAACAATACTTGTACTTTTTCAGAACAAGACTTGCACTGCTTCAGAACAAATTTCCCGTAAAAGCTCTCAATTTGTGAGAAAAATTTTCTGTTTCAGAACAATACTTGTACTTTTTCAGAACAATACTTGTACTTTTTCAGAACAATACTTGTACTTTTTCAGAACAAGACTTGCACTGCTTCAGAACAAATTTCCCGTAAAAGCTCTCAATTTGTGAGAAAAATTTTCTGTTTCAGAACAATACTTGTACTTTTTCAGAACAATACTTGTACTTTTTCAGAACAATACTTGTACTTTTTCAGAACAAGACTTGCACTGCTTCAGAACAAATTTCCCGTAAAAGCTCTCAATTTGTGAGAAAAATTTTCTGTTTCAGAACAATACTTGTACTTTTTCAGAACAATACTTGTACTTTTTCAGAACAATACTTGTACTTTTTCAGAACAATACTTGTACTTTTTCAGAACAAGACTTGCACTGCTTCAGAACAATATTTGTACTGTTTCAAGACAATGTCCGACGTCAGTCAGTAAATTTTATCGTCCAACTTTACAAATGTAAACTCCTATCGTTCTATTTTCTTCACTAGGGTCTAACACCAAAGTAACCTATGTACATGAAATTTCACTGCATAAAAGGAAAAAACTTGCGCGAATTGGGATTTGAACTGAGGTCTTCGACGCCTGTAACGAGGTAGCCCATACCACTGAGCTATGAGCCGCTTGCATATTTTTAAGTAAAATATAGTATATTTGTCATACAGTGAAGGATGACCAAACTTTAAAAAAATAAAGTTAGTTTTTTATAAAATATTTTTTTATCCGGAATATAAAGACAGATATGTCAACAACAGAGAACACAACAACAGTTATAGTCCATGAAGCTATAAATGAAGAATATGAATGCATACAATATAACAAACAATTGTGTCTAATTCGTTCGGTCAAAGACGATATGTACCAAATGCAAAGTATTTTGACGGCTTGTTTTTCTCCAGATACCAAACATACAGACGATTGGTTCAAAAACCAAAGCACACAAGAACTTTTGAGCGAAGCACAGCGAGACCGACTTTTTTCGGGGTCGCCTAAAACTCATGAAAATCGTAAAAATTTGCCAAATGGTTTGAGAGGTTGGTATGTACATAGACTATTAGTAAATGCAGTTGCAATGTGGGCTTCACCACGTTATGCTTGGAATATTTACAAACTTCTTGACGATTTACATACAGAAATGAGAAAAGAGATGGAAAACAAGCTTGAAGCAAAAGACAAAAGCATTCAGAAAAGAATACCACGTTCGGTACCAAAAGGAAAGGAAAAGAACTATAAGTATATGATTTATACTGAAGATATGGAAGACAGTGACATGGTTATGTTGCATTTAGTCAGAAGAAACAACAAAAGCTTTTACGACCTTGCTAAGATTTACAAATCTGACAGAAATTGGTTCTATCGCGAAAACTTACCGATTTCAATGACTCCAAATGAAGATGTGAAACAAATAGTTCAAGATACGTTACCTCAAACACACTATGATATTAAAGGTTGTACAATTTTTACCTTCAAAGAAGATTTGCCATTGTTAAAGGAAAAAATAACAGAGTATTTTGACAACTTCAAACAAGTAGAGTAAATGAACTCTTTATTTTTCAAGCTTGACTTTTTACAATTTGATATCTCATACCGAAATGGCTCGCCAAAAAGGTGACATTTTTGGCGCCAATAATTTGATTTTTCTGATTCTTTCTATTTAGATATATTTATTTAATATTCATATTCCTTTATATTGCCTCATATTATTTCCCATTTTTAATCATATTATACAAATCTTTAATAATTTTTAATGTTTTGAGCTTCAAAATCTTGTTCTAACTATTTTCATTCATATATCCTAGAAAAAATTAAAAAGTTTTTTAGAAATAAAAATGTTTGTATGTAAAGTATTGAAAATATTCTAGATGAGAAGACATTCTCCAGAAGAGATTGATATTGATTGGCTTTGTGAAGCCATCACAAAATCAAATAATGGAGTTAAGTTAACTGATATTTGCGCGAAAGCTAAAATAAATCATGAAGGCAGAGTTATATATAATCATATTATCTTAAAGTATTCCTAGAAATTTCCAAAATTAACCGAAATATAACTGTACAGAATTACTATTTTCGAGATAAAATTCATATGGAAATACTAATTCATAACGCTTTATGTTATATAAAATTTAATTTATAAAAATTTCAAAAAAAAATCAAATTTAACACAATGAATATAACTGCAATCGAGGTTTTTGACGATTGATTCTTACGAGAAGTTTTCCAAACTTTGAGTTAATGTCTTGCCATTAACTCAAAGTTTGGAAGTCTAATAAGGGGAATTGTAGGCTATGAGGTACTGATTATATATCAGTGCCTCATAGCCTGCAATTCCCATTAGAAATCGGAGAAACTTTGTCCGCATAACTTATGATGCGGACAATGTTTCTCCCATTTCTACTTAGAATGAAAGGGCAAGAGGTATATAGGTACACTATATATCTCTTGCCCTTTCCTTCTTACCTAAAGACTTCCAATCTTATTTTTTTCCAATTTTTCCCCTAAATTTAAATCTTATATAATATAAATAAAATGCATAATATCAATCACAAAAATTAATGTTTATTTTTTTAATTAAAATTGCCGCGCAAATTAAGGTTTTCTGTCACTTTTTTGTTAGCCATTTCGGTACGAAACAACTTTTTACAATTTGAACTTTGTTCGCGTAGATATGAATTCTGAAAGAAGTATGAGGGTCTTGTATGACTTTATACTTCTCCCAGAGTTCATGTCTGTCAAACTTACCTGCCATGGACTCTTTCATAAGTTCCATGAAATCGTCTTCGGACAATCCGGGGAAAAGTATAATGTCAGTAAGTATTCTCTTTACATCCTTACTTAAACTCTTGGCTGTCTGTACACATATTACGACTGAAATGTTAAAGTGCCTAAGTTTCTTAAGAATTCGACACATATCTTGTTCTCTATTCTTAAGCAAAGGATGAGATGCAAAGTCGTCTAAGATAAGAAGACACCTATGAGGGTAAGTCTTCCAATCGTAAGATTGTAATTTCTTCGAAATGTATTCTATCTCTTTCTCTTTGTTTCTGAAGTGTTTCTTCTCTAATATAGTTAGTATGGTTATCTTGGGTACTGTGGCACTGCGTTCCACCTTACCCAATATAACCTTAAATATTTACAAAACCAGTAACGTATATTTTACAACACAAAACGACAACACTCACTTAACCTTAAATATTTACAAAGCCGCCAACCACTTCACCTCACCAACATTTTCGCTAACGACTTCACTAATGAAAAAATAAACGTTCTCACTAACGTTCCCACTAATGTTCTCATTTACAAAAGTATTGCAGCGCTTCCCATTGCTGTGCTTCACATAACAGCTCATAATCTTCTGACTCACTTTCTTCTTCATATAGGTCAAAATCACTGTCATAGTTTATACCTGTAAGTTTTGACAAAGCTAATGAAACACGTTTACCATTTGTATCTATTGCTTTTATATATCTCCCATTATGTTTGTTGTCGTAAACGCTCAAACTAACTTTACCCTTTCTCCCTCGTATCTGATAGAATGTATTTTCACGAGGAACGAAGAACAAATTCTTGAACTCATGACCGTTGTAGTTTGTTATCTCAATAGTTTTCGTCATTTATATAAAAATAAAATAAAAATAAAATAAAAAATAAACTTAAAAATAAATGATATCACCACCCTCACACGTATGAAAACATAGCACAAAAATAAATTTAGGTGAAGTGGTGAAATCTCACCCGTTTTCTCACCTGTTTTCTCACCCGTTGAATTCATTGCTTTATAACTCTCTTCCTTTCTCCAACTCTTCTAACTTCTTCTTAAGTTCAGCAATGTTGTCCTCATGAAGTTTAATCTTCCTTAATATACCTTCTCTATCTAATGGTTGCTTTATCTTTCTAAACTGAACTCTACCATCCTTCATAGTATGAACGTAAAAACCTTCTGGAATAGTTCCTGATTTAATGTATTCTACCAAAAACTTTTGTTTCATTGCTTCAGTGACTTTAGTCGTCATTTCAATCAAATAAAAATGTTCAATAAAAATAAAATAACGTTATTTTTTCAGTAAGGAAACGCAGGAGTTTTACGATTTATTTGAGGAGTAGGTTCTGGTTTAAATGTTGGAGTCGGTTTAGGAGTTGACTTTTGAACAGGAGTTTGTACTTCCATAGGTTCAGGAGTCATTGAAGGTTTTGCTTGTGATGGTGTCGGAGTTTGTTCAAATTCAGCTACTTCAGTATTATTTATAACATTTGCTTTATTTCTTTTCAACATCATAACTGCTCCTGCTGTAGCTAGCAAACCTAGTGGGAGACCATATTTTATATAAGGACTTGACCAAATGCTATTTTTGACAGGAGCTGGTGGAACACCTAACCTTGGTGAGACTGCTCTTTGCCATTGTGCAGCTCGTAAGAAATATTCAATAGGTGCTCCATAATCGTTTGGTAAAGTTTGTTTCATAGATGGTGAAGGTTCACGAGAGCTTGATGAAGAACTCATTTATAAGCTTTAAAAATAAACGTTCATCCTTTATTCTTCACTGTCGTCAGTTGCTAAGTTATAGTCGTCAAGTCTTATTATTGGTATGCCTGACTGTCTTACTTGTATTGCAAAGCAACAATCCCTCATAAATCCAATAAGTGGCTTTGGTACGTTTTCAGTTGCTAGTTCAATAGGTCCTTTAACAGACAATTTGTATGTTATTGGAGCAGTAGATGTTTGACCTTGCTGGAAGCAAAAGTCCACTTCTGTTGGAAAACCACATAAGAAATGTGTGTTGTCATAGCTATCCCATTTATGTTCCACACACCATCATCCATCAATGACCTCATAACATCTTCATTAAATCCTATAATATCATTGTTTGTATTGCAGGCGTTCGCAACCATTTCATAAAATACAGGTCCATATGATTTTTCAGGTTCTGCAGGCATATTTCCATAAGCTCCATGGAAAGCTGAAGATATTTAAACTTAGGGTTCTCAAAATTAACATAATAGTTGTCTTTCTTCTAAATAGTGCCCAAATACTTTTAACATTAATAGGCGTATAAGCTGCTGTAAATGTTGCACTTGAACTATCTGTATTCTTTGAGAATGAACCGTCCATAGGAATCCAATCCATAACTTTAACAGGAAAACATAAAGCCTCGTTTGTATAATGTTTCTACAAGTTCTGTATAAATGTTAGGGTCTAAAGAGAATGACTTGGATGAATAAAACATTCATTAAAATCCATCTTTGTTCGAAATAGTTGCTGGTTTACAGTTGTAATAGTAACTGTTCCACTAGCTTCTACTGCCTTCGTTATCATAGTGAATGGTTCATTCCATGGAAACAAATTTATTTGTCGGTGGATTTGAATCTGAAGCAAATGCAACTTTAAGAGTTGGATTGAAAGCAATGATATCATTTACAGATATAGATGTGCATTGTAAGGCGTCGCTACTGAACTTTACTTTAAGCTGAATGTTACCAGCAAATGCAGGAATAAATCTTATAGCTTCTAATGGAAGGAATCTTCTAACAGGAATTCTTAAACGAAGCTTAAAATCAAATGATTTTCCTGCTGTAATTGGACCACTAACAATTTGTCCTGTTCTGCATGTTCCCGAATGACTCCATACATCTTCATGTCGAGTCTTTGAGAAAACATCTACTTTCTTTATTTGTTCGGTAGTTGTGAGTTTGAAGTTATATATGCTTCTTCTCTTGCGTTGTCTTGAGAATATACGATACGACCATTTGCAAGGATTTGATATCCAGCAACTGCATAGAAAGCGTCATCGAAACCAATCCAAAATCCTGGTGGGTTTGTTTTATTGGAACCTGAACCAATTTCTTTTATCTACAATAAATTGACCTTCCATTTTATACGTAATGAATGTATTGTAAAGGTCCACATATTTTCACCAGGAGGTGAGAGATTGAATGTTACCCATGTGTTATCTTTAGCAGTTCCAGGTTGTGATGGAATCTTTGCGTCAGAATATTTTCTATTAGTGTCACCAATTTGAACTGCATTGTCTATGATATCGAAATATGAGCGAATCTGATGAATATGCTCTGCTGGAGTAAATTCGTTTAGCTGTTCGTTCTGCATGTATTTACTTCAGATAAAAATATCTATTACTTCATTATTCTCACTCTTCTTCTTGGCATTCGTGGTGGAAGTTGTTTCTTGAGATTTTCAATGAACTGTACATTCTCTTTTGTCTCAACTTCTTTCACTGGCGGGTCAGGGTTCTTTGACTCGGTTTGTTTTTCAATGAAATTCACGAACTTTGCAATAAGCTCTTGGTTCGTTATTGAAAGAACATCTGGCTTCTTTTCTTCTGGTTCTATTGACTTTTCAGTTTGAATAGAAGGCTTAACATGGGCTTCGTGGGCTTCGCCCTTGCCATGCACCTTAATGTTGTCGCTCTCTGCATTCGCTAATGGTACCTTTCTTTTTCTTACGTATATTTTACCATCTTTACTCTGACTTACATAATAGAAAGGATGTTGTATTCCTCTGGCGTCATTTAATATAATAGACTC